TGTTTTCAATAAAAATGAGTACTAATTTATTCCTAGACAACAATCATTTATTATCATATCTTTATTAGTAATATCCAAACATTTTTGTTAAGCCACACTATAAATTAAAGCTATTCACAACTATCACTGATGATATTATTTCTCTACATTTATAAAATAAATTAAATTTAATTGTTATTTACTATAATAATTTTGGATGCAATCCTATTAATTTTTGATCTAGCTATATTAAAATCCTACTTTATTTTACATTACAAGTATAAGAATTAGTACGATTTATTGATGATTGTTAATAAGGGTATAGAAAATCAATATATATAGATGATGAAGTCAAATTTGAATTCCAAGTTAAAGCATTTCTCTTCATTATCTGACCATCCACATGCAATATTAATTTAATGTAAACCTTAATATTAATTTTAATTATCACAAGTATTATCTATATTTATGATACTCTTATAGATTCATGAATGCCAAATCTAACAAGCTAAGAGCTTTTGAAATCGTAATTAAATTCACCATTCGCCAAAAGCTTTATATATATAATTACAGCTCTACCTAATACTACTGCTAACTTAATCTATAAAATAGTACTTATTATATAATATAAAGACTTCATATTAATTATTAATCTTTACAATAGACTTTTAATAAGAAGAAAATAGCTTACGATATATTATTCAAAAAAACAAATGAGTAATTTTGGGATTTGAAGTATTATGGAATGTTTTCTTATTTAAGAATTGTAAGCAACTTTTTTTGACTTCTATCTTCAACTATCGAAAAAAAAAGAGGTCTGGCTAATTTATATTTTTTTTACATTTTTCCCTCAGTTTCAATCTGTAGCTTATTTTTTAACTCATTGTGTGTTAAATTGATATTTATATAATTCCGTTTCTGTTTCATTAGATTTTGGTAAACTAATAGTTTTATTTTTAATTTCTTCTGTAATCCTGTATATAAGAAGCATGTAAAATAAAATTAACAATTAAGTAAATCTTAAAGCAAATTCTTAAAATGCATACTGTTACAAAATTATTTCATTACTTAAGAAATTATCGCATTCCTAATTTAGTATTTATACATTTTTTTAATTGTATATTTTCACATATTCATAGTTTTTTTATCCAAGTTTTTTAAAGATATTCTTATACTGGCAATTTACTCTTCGTTGATATTTGAATTTTACTTTTATTGTTTTTCAAATTTAACTTATTATTTATTTAGTTTTATGTATTTATTAATACTTATACTTCATTTTATATTTTATTAAACAATATCAAATTTTCTTGATATTTAGCTGTCTAATAAGTATGTCTATTTTATTTTTAAACTCAATTTAAAAATTTCAAGGTTAATTAAGTGAATGTTTATTTTATTACTCAAGAAGTTTTTGAGCTAATATAAATTCTTTCTAAATTCGATCAAATTGTAATAGAACATTTATAAATTGAGTAATTGATTATCTCAAATATATATTATTTCAAATTTAAATATGCCTTTTATCTTCAAAGACTTAAATAAAATAAAAGTCTAAATCATATCAAATAAAACTTAATAAATTATTGATATGGTTTATTTCATAATTACAGAATATCGTTTTAGAGTAAATTTTGTAAAGAGATAGAGATTGCTAAATTAAAAAAGAGAGCCTTAATTATAATGAATTATTTTATATTTTTAGCTTTCTGTTTAATTTCATAAATGATTAACTTTATTAATAAATAAAATGCTTCTATCATTCTTTTTGAAGTCCAAGAATTAACTATTTTTATAAAATATCTAATATATTGATATTTTATAAGATTATTTATTTGAGGTTTGAGTGCTTGATGTTAAAAATTAAACAATCAAACAGGTATATTTTTTGATTAAACAATGAATTTAGCCATTAATATTTCCAATTAAATAGAAATTCATGAAAAATACTTTTTTTTAAACTTTTATTCAAAAAAGAAATATAAAATCTTTTACATTGATGGCATAATTAATTACTTAACTTACATGTATATCATAAGTTTATAAAATTTTATAATTCTTTTTTTTTTAATTTATTTAATATCATAAATATTTTCACTTTAAGTATTTCAGATGTTAATCTATTTTATTTTATATTGAATCTCCTTTTAGACCTCAATTTAAAAAATTACTAATTATATCTAAATTTCATAATTAACAAATAATATATGAAGAAAATAAGAGTTATTTGAATCAATATATAAATATCGAATAATTATTCTTTATAGAAATTTTAAAATTTTAAATATAATTTTAGATTTAATCGTATAATTAATATTTCGAGTGAATCCTTTACTTATAAAAATAATATATATATAAATCATTAAGTTGTCATTCCACTGATTTTCTGATATTCTTAGCAATGCATTTATGATCTGATAAATAAATTGGCAGGTTTTCACATCTTTAAACTTCCTTATATTTAAATTCTTCAATTTTTTTCCATACGCATAATTTCCTTTCTTCTTCCACTTATTATTATTCCACCAACAGACAAGCATTACACATTTGATTGAAGCATTTTAACAATTATCCTTAGTCTAAAAAGAAAACCTTTAAAAATGTACAAATTTCTTTAAATTTAATCCACAATATTAAAATTTTCTACATTCTTTGTTCTCACAATTTTTAAATAAGCGGTAATTATATCTGGAATCTAAAACATCAATCCTAATTTTAAAATACATTTAATATTATTTTTTTGAATATAATTACAAACATTATATTTTTAAGGTTCTACATACAATGCTGATTAAATAACAATAAGAAAACTATCAATCTATTGAATTTCTATTAAATCCTTTTATTTATATTATATTGAAGAATTAAAAGAGATTTAAATATATTTATTAATTCTGTAACTATTTTTTATACTGATTATTTCTCTCAAAAGATTCATATATCAAGAGTAAAAATAACATTACTTTACTTAGTTGAAGCAAAATTTTTGCTAATTTAAAATAATTATGATAATCCCTCTATCGTAGTTTGATAAATCAACTCAAATCTATAAAATTTAACAATAATTTCAAAAATCTAAATATTAAATAACTATCATAACCCACCTAAGTATTTTATGAACTTATTAATTATTTTTAATATCGTGATTCTGTCTCTCTATTTTATGGAAGTTGAAAATGTACCAAATAAGTAATTTCACTTTTTTGTTTAATAAATTTAGCAGTATATATCTTCACAGTATTATGTACGATCTCATGATTAATTCTTTAAATGGATTATAGAGATTGATAAAATATTTCTAATGAGAATTATAAGATAAAAATAATCAAATAACCAAACGAACTCTAATTTATTCTCTTTGTAATTACAATTGTATTCCAAAAATTAAGTTTGAACAAAAATGGTATTAACTAGGTTAAAATTAATTTAATACTAATTAATAAAATTAAGACCTATCAATGCTACGTATTTTTACTTATATTCTTTTATAATTATTGGATCTACGATAATACATAGTAAAATGTATTACAGAACTTTGGAAATATTGAATTAGATTAAAATTCTATTAAAATAAGTGAAATATGAATAAGAAACTAATTTTAACGAATGATTTAGCAAATAAGGCTGTCAATAGAGCCTATTATAACATCAACTAATATTGGAAGTGAAAACTTAAATCGAATATTTGTGAGGAAAAATAAATTGCCAAATGGAGGATATTAATAGGAATGCAACCCATTTGTAATATGTACTTAGATCTTTTTATATTTTATTTAATTAAATTATCATTTTCAAAGAGGATTCATAATTTTTTATTCGTATATTTTATTTTTGTAAATTAGAGGGAAATTATTTTTCTTGTCACCTTATATAATATTTAGATTTAAATCTGAATCTTTTAATGTAATTTATAAATGGCAGTTATAAATAATTAGATCTTTAAAATTTATTAAGAAGTAGTATTAAAGTTGTTTTAATATATTTAATTGAAAAATATCTATTATATATATCTTTATGAAACTTAAAAATTTTTCTATAAAGAAGTGTTCAAAATAAATTGCAATTACAATATAAATTATATTAATCTGTTATAAATAAAAAAAATATTATTACAAAAAATATTTAAATAAAAATTTGAAAAAGGTGATAAATTAAGAATCAAATTAATGATATAAGATACAACTTATGCTTATAGCTTTAAATATTTTACAAATTTAATTTTTAATAAGAGGATTAAAACCAATAATGGAAAAATAAACAAAAAAAAATTTTTTAAGCAAGTTAAGTATTTTTTCTAATTCCTTATAAAAGAGCAAAATATTTGTGAATTAAACAGAGAAATGATGATATAAATAAGAAAAGAACATTTTTTTAATTTAGAAATTTGTAGAATAAATTTTTAGTTCGAAAACAATTAATCGAATTATAAAAATAAATAAAAATTGAATGGTTTATTTATCATTACTTGAACCATTACTTTAAAGTTATAGCTCAGAAGTAACAAATAATAAAGCCCTTGATATTATAAGCAATAATATAGATTGGGCTTATATATTTTTTTGGTTTTTTAGTTTTTATGGATAATTATATGAAACTTTGAAGCCAAACAGTATATTATTGTTTTAATTAAGTGTTTAAGGAAGGTATTTTAAAGGTGGAGAGAATGGATGGCCATTTAGTGGTAATATTACTTTATAAGAGCTCATTATTGCAATTCATTCTGTAGGAATAACAATTACAATATAAATAGCTTATTATTATAAAAAAGGAGATAATCCAGGATTAAGTTTATGATGTATAATTTTATTAATAATTTTGTGATCTTAAACATTAATATATATAATTTTGACATGGATATTTGGTTGGCAAGTGATTTTAAAAAATGAAAAATCAAATGTTTTACATTGGTAAGATTTTAGCTATTTCCGTGATGAATCATCTATGTTTTCTCCAGTTTTAGGGGTAAACAGAAAAAAATCAAGAACCTTTGATTCTTTAACCTTAAGCTAAGAGATTATCTATTTAGTATTTATAATCTTCAATCTACTCATCATTTTCTCTCAAATCTATTTTATTTGCAATAATAATTTTTTTAATATTTTTAAGTTGACAAGTCTCTCTTGGTTTCACTATAGATAATAATAATATATATTACTTATTAAAGTGTATTAGTAAATAATTTATATGTATTTTATTAATTAAAAATTAAAAGATATAAATTTTTTAAGAATATAAAAAATTAAAATAAATTTATTATATAAAACATTATAAAAACTAACCATCTAATTGATATCGAATATAATTATAATAATATCCTTATTAATGCAAGAGTTTTTCCTAATTGATTAATAATGTTCTTAATAACATATATCTGGGAAATTTAAATTAATTGGTATATTATTAATATCTATTGTTTTTTTGACTAAAGTCCAAAAAGTTGGTTTGTATTTTTTCGAGAATGAATTCTTGATAATCTATATTAATATATAACTGTGTATAATAAACCTTTTTGATAAAATGGATGACTTTCCAACTCTTTGATTTCCTATTATAATTTAATTGCGTTCCATGATTTATTTGATGAGATTTATTTAAAAACAAAAAAAAAATTCTTATTGTGAATATTATTTTTTTGATGATTAATTAATTAATAATTGATAATAAAATTAACATAAAATAAATGGATTAATAAATAAAAATGGGAATGAAGAGTTTTAAATAGATTTAATTTAGTATTAAATGAGTTCTACAAAAGTAGATGGACAAAATAGAATTGCATAAAGATGATTATGAGAAATTAAGTTAATTGTTATCAAAATTAGAAACTGGTTGAAAAGAAGAAGAAGGTATGGAAGGTGTCATGAATATTTGTGAAGGGCAGAAAAAAGAATGCGAATAAAAGTAATTTTAATGATTTAAAAAATAAATTATTTAATTTTAAAAATACATAAAAATTCAATTAGAACTTATTTTCTTATAAGTTTTAAAATTAAACACCAATTAAGCATATGGATATATTACCTCTTAATTGCTTTTTTCTTTAATAAGAACATACTCTAAACTAATTTTTTAAGATTTATTTGGCTATATTAAATTGTGAATATACCTTAATACGACATACTAAATTATCTTTGTTAAGCTTTTAAGCATATACTTACGTATCAAATACTCTTGGTTCTTCAGTCTTATCATCATCATCATCATCATCTTCATCTTCCACTTCAACAAAGCTTTTTAATTGATCTAATTCTCTAATTTTATCAAATAAGGTTTTCTTTCTCAGAAACTCATTTTTTCTGATTTGATAATCCAAATATTTCAATGCTTTCTCATAAGTATCTTATTCTACTTTTGGATTAATTTCATCTTCAGAATCATCTGAAAATAATAAGTCACTTTCTTCCTAAAATAAGAAATAGTAAGAAAATATACTTTTTTTATGATTGAAGTATCTAAATTAGTTTTAATTTTCTTTAATATAGCAGGTTCCTCTTCAATAGGGTTGTCTCTATTTTACTTTAATTAAGGGGAAACTTTTGTTTTTAAATTAACTTCTTAACCTCCTTATATTGCATTTAAACTACTTAACCAAAACTAAAAATAGTATAAATTTATAAATACATCTTTAAAAGTTTAGATCTCAGATTCACTCATTTATAATTAACCTTAATCAGAGTTTTATTTTAATTTCTCTATCACTTCATTAAGAATTATTTCATAAAGATTTTAAGTCTATTTTATATATTATTACATTTATAGAATTATAAATTTTAATATAAATTTTTAATATATTTTCTTGATACAAAATTACAGCCATTTTTAATAATAGTGTAAAATTTAATCTATTACCTAAATTAAGAAAACATTATTAAGGAATATTAGATAAATCTAATAATTAGAATTAGACAGTCACAATCTTCTATATATTAACAATATCATAATATTATTAATTAATTGTTATGATCAATTAAATAAGAGAAGACTTTAGCATTTGCTTATTATGAATTATTTAAGAGTGCAACATGGACTTATCTAAATCTCTAAATCCAGTTTAATGTATTTTATATTTATTTTAAAATTCATTATTCTGCTATTATATTATTTAACCCCTTACTATCAATCAATGAAGCTATATAAAACTATAGTAGTTTTAGAAGCAGTAGATATTTTGTTTATCAAAAATATAAGTGGAAGTTATGAAAATAGATAAATTAGTTGGACTTATTGCTAGGTTGTAATAAACGAATTTGGAAATGAGAGTTGAGTTTTTGAGACTTCAACTTAAGAAAAAGGAGAAGTTTGAAGAATTCATAGAAGAATATTTTGGGATGTGTAGTCATTTATATTTTTGATGTTTGTTAGAATGTTTATAATTAATGCATCTTAATTACAAATAATTGTCTAAAAATGTATGTTTTTTCCTGCAGCATTCACTGATATAACTTATATGCTTATAATTTATGTACTAAGATAAAAAGATCCAAATTGGGAGAATCATTCTTATAAATGAGTGCAGGAAGAAAATCAGTCAAAATGCAATTAAAATTAGATTGACGATCTATTATGAAATATATTAATGAATTAAAAAAAAGAAAGTCGATTCCTACTCAAAGAATTAGTTATACAAACTCAAAAATCTACCTTAAATACAAACCAAAACTTTTACTTATGTTAATAATCAAATTTAAAATATTTAAACTGCCAAATAACCTTCAAAATCATACTAAATCTTAGCTAATTATATAAAAAAATTGATGCAAAATCCAGAATTAAAGATATTAAATGATGATGATAATTGTAAAGGTATTTCCTCATAAAACTAGAACTAAAAATTATAATATAATTGATCTATAATATAGCATTTTATTTTCACACTTGTCTACTCTGTAATTAATTACTTTTTCTCTCAACATAAAATAGGTATTTTCCTTCTCAAAGATGTCTTTAGCTTTATGAAAATTTTTATAACCTAATTCCTTTTATTTTTTTCTCTCTAAAAATCTGTTATGCTTCAAAACATATTTGGCTTATTGTATTATAAAGTATATTAATTTTTAGAGTTGTTAATTAAATTTCTAAAATTTTTGTTCTTTTAAGTTATGGAAACTAAATAAAAATTTTAATGATTTGTGAATGAAATAATTTGTTGACAAAATTCAAAGGGGAAGCCAAAAAGTCTATTATTATAATTTTTGAACAAATGACAACATTTGTATGTAATGAGTTTTTTTTCCACAATCTATCTACTTATATCTGAGATAGGTTAAAAAATTTCTTATCGAATGTTTCAAAATTCTTTTAAGAGAAGTCAAAATAGAATTTCAGAAAAGTTAGTAAATATATATAATAAAATAATAACCAAATAATAATAATTTTTTTCTTAATTAAATAACTATATTTCAATTTTACTTTCCATAATTTTAATAAGTGCAATATAATAATCATTTTTATACTTTTTTTTTATAATTGATTTATAAAAAAATTACGATACTAAAACAAGAGTTCTTATTAACACAATATAAATAATAGCTTTTCAAAAGCAAAAAGATTTAAAGTAGAAATAGTTTTTTCGTGATTAAAAAGTAAATACAGGAAATCCATAATTAGAAATTTTATTTATCTTAAATTCTTCTCAATACATCAAAATTTTAATTACAATAATATACAATTGAAATATTAATTTAAGTATTAAACCTCTTCTAAAAACAATTTCTCCTAATATCATCATTATGAGTGTTTCTATCATTATTACAACTTTTGAAACACAAAATTATTCTAAATCAAATGATTTAAAAAAGCAAATTTCAAAGATAATAGGATAAAATGCACTTGAAAAAGTAATAAATATAAAAAAAAGATAACAGATATCAATTCGGTCCAAAAGATAAAACACCCATTATGTATTGATTATTATAAGCAATAATACTAGCTGCAAAAAATATCTAATTTTACACAATAACAATAAGCAAAACAACGCTGACTAAATATCTGGATTATCAATCTATATATATAATCTTGTTAATAAGGTAATTTTAGTAAGACGATGTCTCAGTTACTCATCTTAAGTATATTAGAATAGTAAACTTAAATTTATGATGAATTTTAAATAATGAAATTTTAATTAAAATTATTATTACTAGTATAGTAAAATGAATACTATATTGATTAGGTAATTGAATAAATAATAATGTACAATTAGAATAGTTTAGGCATGTTGTATTCTAATTTTAAGAAAGGTGAAATCTTAAAAACTACCTATTTCTCAGATAGCTTTATTTAAATAGTTAAGTTAAATGGTAAATAATATTATGAAAATTGACTGACTAGTTATGTAGAATATCATACAAATAATATATTAAAAAGAGAAATGTAAAATGTATAAAAACCAAAATTTTTGGAAGAATATTAATGAATATTGATGTTGCCGATGAAACCATTTTCTGCTTGCAATAAATTAGGCTGTGGTTGGACAATTTTTCGCTCTTATATTCTTAAAGTCTATCAACAATTTCTTATTAAGCATTTCTATTTGTTGTAATAAACGAATACATTTCAATAGTTTCAGTTTCAGATATCTGGGATTATATAGCAATAATTCTATCCATGAAATAGTATCTTTTTATTCGTGAATTTAGACTCATAATTATGCCTTTCATTCAACCAATCAAGTATGTTTATTAGATAAATGAACTGAGAATTCAGTCCAACGAGCAGCTTATCTTTCTTCAAATCCTAAATTATTGATAATTAATAATACAGTCTTAACAGCATTATTTTGGACTAATTATTATCTAAATTTGCTTAAAAGTTTGACAATTTTAGTTAAAGCCTTATAGTTAACTTCATGATTCGCAAGTTTTGTCAAAACTGTAATGACTGGCTAAGAAATTAAGATAAAATAAAACTTGTAAAAATGCAGAATGTCATGTATTATCAGAATACTTCTTATGTAGTGTATCAAATATGGTTTTAATTTAAGCAAATGAAGCACTTAAACTTAAATGTTAGATAGGTTTTTCAGCATCATCTATAGCTCCAATCACATCATCAATTGCAGCAAACTTAATAACAAAGGTTTCGTGTTGTTGATTTCTTGATGCCTCTTCTCTTGCATAAGTAGATTCATTATTTGAAATATCTTGAATAGTAACCCTGATATCTTCTTCTCTTTTAATAATGTATTAGCTTCAATTTAATTCTAGTGATAAACTTAATCTTCTTTATTACTTTATACAAGATTCTTTCTCTAAGTCTTCAACTATCTGAAATTTATAAAAACAACTACTCTATTATTTGTTGTTGTATCAAACTCAAGACAATATCACATGTTCAAATGTGCTAGCATTTATTTGAGTTAACTTTGTATAAGTATCAACGAACTTAACAGCTGTTATTGTAATTACTAATCTCAAGACGGCGAGTTTTACATTTATATTTTAATATTGATTTAACAACAAATCAAATTAACTCATTAAATGTGAGGATTTCCTTCTTTATTTAATAAAAACTTTACTCATATTCTCTTCTAATAATTCTTCTTAAATTAAACAAAATTTTTGAAATTAACTAATTAATATTTCCCAAATAGATTAAATTTGAGCGAATTATCAAATTTGAATTAAAATTGCTTAAAGATAAGAATAGTTGTGATTTAATAATTATTGGTTTTTTAATTAAAATTAAAATGTCTAAAGGATGAAATAATCTTTAATTTTAAAATTTATATTTAATAATCAAATTTGAAAAACACACCTAATCCATTCTACAAACTTGATAAGAAATATATATCTTTTTATTTATGATTTTAATACAATTTAATTTTAAATATATCAAAATAAATTTCACTTATAATTAAATTACTTTTTACAAAGAATTTAGTAATTATTTTAAAAAAATCCTTAATTATAATTAAATTACCTTTTAATTTTAGGCAAATTTAATTTTATTACAATTGCAATAATTATTAACATTAAATATTAGTAATTTTTCCTTTTATTCATGCAAATATTTTTCATTATAATTATTTTATTATTTAGGTGGATCTTTCTTTTTATTTGTACAAAATGAAATAATTCTTGTATAATTTATTTATTTTAAAATAATTATTCACTATCTTTACAAATTTATTAATTATTATGTTAATTTTGATAATGTTTTTATTTTAAAAACTTGTAAATTTGTTATTCTTTTTTAAATTAGGAAATTCAGTTAGATTTTTTATTTTTCCCTATTTCTAAAGATTATACTACTCCATATTATAATATTTGTACTAGACGTGGTATTTTAAAATTATTTTAATATATATTCTAAATTTATATTTTTAAAACAACTGCATTAATTAATAGCACCCTATAAGCATTGAGTTTTGTTTTATCGTATCGACACAATAATGAAGTATCTCAATTATGATTATGGTAATCAATGAGATCAATTTTATAAGTCATGGCTTATAAATATTCAAAGAGTTTTAAGTATATCAAAGCTTATGTTTAGATAATATGTAATTAAAAAAAAATACATAAAGTATTGAAAAAAAAAATATCAATTATTGATTATATTCAAATATAGAAACCTGAAATTTCTGATTAGAATAATAAAACATCCTAATCAAGAGAAATGAGCCTTCAATTATTTCCTGAAATATATATTATAATATAAATGATCTATATATTATAAATAATTTATTTGTTATTAAGTAAAATAAATGAATTCTTAAATATCTCTCAAATGTTCATTGAATTCAAGATATCATTAAAATCATAACAATAATAATTTATGTAATAATGACATTTTTTTTAGATTTTCCTATTCAAATTTTACAAATTTTATTTCCTATGGCTGATCGAAAAAACAAACTATTGAATGAGTATATATC